AGAGTACAGTGTAAAGCACATGTGAAGGCTTACTCAACCCTGTAAATCTTAAGTAGGTCTTACCAAGGCTGGCTCCTCCTTAGGAAGATTAATGAATAGAAAAAAGAACAATAACCTACAAATATAAACACTTTATTGTTAGAATTAAAAATATAAAACATTTAAATATGAACTTTTATCCTACTTGAAAGAAAAATGAAAAATGAAATGAAAAAAATGATATTTGAATTCAACGCTAATATGTACAGTTAGACTGGGGTGTCTGGCTGATGTTGACACCTCGCTTTGTAGAAATTGTAGCCGTTGCTGATGATGGGGGGGGGGGCACTGTTGTTGAGTGACAACCCAACGACTAGTTCGTCACAGAATCTCTAGCCTTGAATAATCCGTCAAGATGATAGGAACGCAGGTCTTTCACCACTGCAAAGATGAGAGGTAGTTGCCTGGGGTTGGCTACACTCAGGTATGTAGATAAAAAGTGACGTCCCAGAACTCATGTGAAGATCGTCTCCTTCAACACTGTTTCTTTGGTTGCCAGATGACCCAAGCTGACATTCCAAGCTAGAAAGAGGCAAAAGTTACACACTGCTTAAGAAATCACTCTCCATGATAAGTGTAAGGCACTTCAAAGAATGGTGAGGATTTAAAAGCAAAACCTGGAAATCAAGGCAGAATGAACTAAGTTTTAGTATAAGAACATAAGAACATAAGAAAGGAGGAACACTGCAGGAGGCCTGCTGGCCCATACTAGGCAGGTCCTTTACAATTCATCCCACTAACAAACATTTGCCCAACCCAGTTTTCAATGCCACCCAAGAAATAAGCTCTGATGTGAAAGTCCCACTCAAATCCAACCCCCCCCCACTCATGTACTTATCCAACCTAGATTTGAAACTACCCAAAGTCCCAGCCTCAATAACCCAACTAGGTAGACTGTTCCACTCATCAACTACCCTATTTCCAAACCAATACTTTCCTATGTCCTTTCTAAATCTAAACTTATCTAATTTAAATCCATTACTGCGGGTTCTCTCTTGGAGAGACATCCTCAAGACCTTATTAATATCCCCTTTATTAATACCTATCTTCCACTTATACACTTCGATCAGGTCTCCCCTCATTCTTCGTCTAACAAGTGAATGTAACTTAAGAGTCTTCAATCTTTCTTCATAAGGAAGATTTCTAATGCTATGTATTAATTAAGTCATCCTACGCTGAATGTTTTCTAACGAATTTATGTACCATTAATCAAGCTATGCTTATCGAGATGGCTTCTTATAATCTCAGCTATAATTGACTCTAGTAATTTGCCTACAATTGAGGTCAGGCTTATTGGGCGGTAATTTGACGGTAATGACTTGTCCCCTGTTTTAAAAATAGGAGTTACATTAGCCATCTTCCACATATCAGACACTACACCTGTTTGAAGAGATAAATTAAAAATATTAGTTAATGGTTCACAGAGTTCCATTTTGCATTCCTTAAGAACCCTTGAAAAAAAACCTCATCAGGACCCGGCGACTTATTTTGCTTCAGTCTGTCTATCTGCTTCACAACCATCTCACTAGTGACTGTGATGTTACATAATTTATCTTCTTCTAGCCCACTGTAAAAATTAATTACTGGAATATTGTTAGTGTCTTCCTGTGTAAAAACTGAGAGAAAATAATTATTTAAAATCAAGCACACTTCATTCTCTTTGTCAGTAAGGTGCCCATAGTTATTTTTAAGGGGACCTATCTTATCTCTAACTTTTGTTCTATAGACCTGGAAAAAACTTTTTGGGTTAGTTTTAGAATCCCTAGCAACTTTAATTTCATAGTCCCTTTTAGCTTTTCTTATCCCCTTTTTAATGTCCCTCTTAATGTCAATATACTGATTCATAAGATGACCCTCACCTCTTTTGATACGCCTATAAATTCCTTTCTTATGCCCTAGTAGATATTTGAGCCTATTATTCATCCATTTTGGGTCATTTCCATTTGATCTAATTTCTTTATATGGGATAAACGCTCTTTGAGCAGCATGTATAGTGTTCAGAAAACTGTCATATTGATAGCTCTCTTCGTTACCCCAGTCAACAGATGATAAGTGTTCTCTAAGCCCATCGTAATCTGCTAAGCGAAAATCTGGGACTGTTACTGAGTTATCGCTACTATCGTACTTCCATTCAATGCTAAATGTAATTGATTTGTGGTCGCTAGCACCCAGTTCCTCTGAAATTTCTAAATTATTAACAAGGGATTCATTGTTTGCTATAACTAAGTCAAGCAGGTTTTTTACCCTTGTAGGTTCTGTCACAAACTGCTTCAAAAAACAATCCTGAAATACTTCTAAGATTTCGTATGATTCTAAATTCCCAGTCAAGAAATTCCAATCAACATGACTAAAGTTAAAGTCTCCTAGAATTACTACATTATCGTGCCTTGTGGCCCTAACAATTTCCTCCCATAGTAGTTTCCCTTGGTCCCTATCTAAGTTTGGGGGACGGTATATCACTCCTAAAATCAGTTTTTCATGCCCCTCTGAAAATTCTATCCAAACAGACTCTGTATGTGTTACTTCAGACTTAATACCCGTTTTTATGCAACAGTTCAAGCGATCTCGGACATACAATGCCACCCCACCCCCCCCTCCCAATACTTCTATCTTCTTGGAACAATTTAAAACCCTGAATATGACATTCTGCAGGCATGTCCCGACTTTTTGAATTAAACCACGTCTCAGTTAAGGCAAATACATCAATGTTACCTACACTAGCAACTAATCTCAACTCGTCCATCTTATTCCTAGCACTACGGCAATTAGCATAATAAACATTGAAAGACTCTCCTTTCTCTTTACCCTTCCTGCTCATTTCTATTTTTCTACTAAACCTATTACTGTCCTTATCACCCAAGGTCCCTGGCTTTTCAATATCTATCTCATTCTTATTATTACTAGTTCCCCTAGAACTCGTAATATTACTACACTGGGACTTCACTGTTTTCCTGCCAAAACCCATACCACTAACTATTCCTAGTTTAAAGTCCTAACTGCTCCCTCCACTGCAGTTGCCAGTGCTCCCACCCCACACCTAGATAAGTGAACCCCATCCCTAGCATACATGTCATTTCTGCCATAGAAGAGGTCCCAGTTGTCAATGAATGTTACCGCATTTTCCTTACAGTATTTGTCCAGCCAGCAATTGACACCAATTGCCCTGGACAACCATTCATTTCCAACTCCCCTCCTTGGCAAAATACCACATATGAGAGGGTTCCCACCATTACTTCTAATTATTTCTATTGCTGACCTATACCTGCTAATCAGGTCCTCACTTCTACGTCTGCCAACATCGTTGCCTCCAGCACTGAGACAGATAATAGGATTGCTCCCATTACCTCTCATGATGTCATCCAGACGGCTAACAATATCCTCCATCCCAGCCCCAGGAAAGCAAACTCTCTGTCTCCTACTCCTGTCCTTCAAGCAGAACGCCCTATCCATATACCTAACTTGGCTATCCCCAACAACAACAATATTCGTACCTTCCTTAATGTCTTTCGTCGTGACATTCCCAGTAGTCGACTCACATTCGTCGGGTAGCACTGAGAATGTATTGGATGTTTCCACAACAGTTTCCACGGCAGTCTCTTTCTTCTTCATCGTTTCTACCTTTCCATTCGTCTTCTTGATCGTCAACTTCTTTCCCTGCTGTCCAGCCACTGACCAGTTTCTCTTCTTGACCTGAGGACTCAAAACAGGAGGACTACTCCGAATCTTTTTGTTTTCCTCGGTCAGTCGCCGAATTTCCATATTCGCCAACCTCAATTCTTCCTTAAGCTGTTGGTAAAGTTGCTCGATGGAGGGCATCTTGCTTCAATTCTAGAGAGCGCGCAAACAGGTCTTCACAGAGCCAAGTACACGTCAACACTGCGCAAAAGCTAACTCAATCAGGAGCTACTGCGCAGCACGTCCGCACGGCCCAATAGTGAAGCCTTTAACCAATATATCCACTAGAATAGGAGCAGAGGCTTTTACTTACAGTTGTGCTGGGAGCTGTGAGTCAAGTGATTACCCATTTGGTCGGAGCCCCACACGTCACCTTTCCAGGTGGAGAAAAGAGGGGGAGGGATAGCGGGAACTAGACACTGATCCTACCTTAACAAGCAGACTGGCATTCAAACTGTCGTCACCATATACTAGCTTGCTACTCCTATCTGTTGAACTTTTTCCTCACAGCACACCAACAATGAAGAGCAACTCAAATAATTATTGCAACTTGTCGATCACCACTTAAAGAAATTTTCAAAAGCTACGAAAAGTTCCGTGACAAGTGGGAAACAATAAGTTACGTATATGGGACTGGGAGGAGGATGATGGACCCAGGGCTCGTCTTTGGTAAACTCAGCCTTTGAAAGCTACCCATTAATTAATATTTTCCGAAAACGCACAAATTTTGTCAATATAAATTTTTCATGAGGTGAAACTAATTTAGGGGGTAGGAGTGTAGTATTTCTAAAACTGAAATTTCATTTCAGATAGACCATCAAACTTGTGAAATATATATCCATTGTACTTTTCAAATGTTTGATGGACTGATAACATTGACTCAAACCTGAGGGACTGATTACCTCACACTCCTCTCCTTCCACCATTCATCTTTGTACAGGACTTATTAAGCGAAACATTTTTCAGTAAAGATTCCCATATCTTATACCATTTGCATCAAATCTAATGTTTCTCACAGTCTAACCTAATTTTTTAATAGTATTTCTTTGCTGAATATCCGGATTTCCTATGACTTTTTCTCATTCATTACTACTTATCTTTCGCATATTCTTGACACTCTTCTTAAATGAATTTCATATATTTTCTTGTAACTTCTGAATATTGAACTTCAGTTTTTATATTTCTTATAATTTTGAAAAGCATCAGCTATTTCTTAATTATTAAAAATTGATTGTATTCCTCATTACGAGGAGAAATTTGTATCTTACATTCTTGTATTTTCGTAGGAACGGCAGCGGCAGGAAAGATGAGAGAGATCAGGTTAGCAGAGAAAAATAAGACCTCTTGAAGAGCACCAGTTGATGTGACTGAAGACTAGCCAGAACGGCGAGGCCTTCACACCTTCACTTAGCTAATATTCTCTCTTTATTTTATGGAGTATTTTTTAATTTGTTCTTGTAAAACTTACAACAGTTATACCATTCATTATAATATATTAAAAAATTATTGTTTTAATTCTTTGTTTATGTCAGGCTGTTTTTTTTTTTTTTTTGTGGAACTCAAGTTCTAAGTTTCTTGTAACATTTTTATTATCAATTTTTAAAATTGAACTTCTCCAAGTTTTTTCAACCATACCGAAACAATTTTTTTTCAACCAAATTCTTCTGAATATATCATGAACCGTTTTAAATTAATTTAGCATTACTTAATATCAATGATATAGTTTTCTTCTTTATGTTCAAATTGGTTTTCCCAGATTTATTGCATAATCAAATTTTTACTCTGCTTATTCGGCAAAAATAAGCATTTGCATTTTTTTGTTCAGTACAACATAATATGAATGAGTATGTATAATTTTTGTTATTAATAAATCGGCCATTTCCCACCAAGACAGGGTGACCCGAAAAAAAAGGAAACACTTTCATCATCATTTACTCGATCACTGTCTTGCCTGAGGTATGCCTACACTACCATTTACAAAACAGCAGCATATCAACACTTCTTCACAGTGCAGGCACTGTACTTCTCACTTCCAGGACGCAAGTCCGGCCAGCCGGTTTCCCTTAATCCCTTTATAAATGTTATTTTGCTCACACTCCAACAGCACATCAAGTCATGAAGCCCATTTGTCTCCACTCGCTTCTATCTAATACGCTCACGCATGCTTGCTGGAAGCCCAAGCTCCTAACACACAAAACCTTCTTTACCCCCTTTCTCCAACCTTTCCTAGGCTGACCCCTACCCCGTTTTCCTTCTGCAGATTTATACTTTCTCCAAGTCATTCTATTTCGTTCCATCCTCTCTCATTGTTAGAGCCACATTAACAACCCCTCCTCAGCCCTCTGGATAATACTTTTAGTATCCCCGCACCTCCTCCTAATTGCTAAACAACGGATTCTCTGCATTATATACATTGCCCACAAAAACGTCAGCTCCACTGTCTCCAGCCTTCTCCTTGTTGCAACATTCGCCACCCATGTTTTATAAGAGCGTTGATATGCGTATACTCTCATACATTTCCATCCTTGCCTCCAAGGATAATGGTCTGTCTCCATAGACTCCTCAGCGCACTACTCATCTTATTCCTCACATCAATTCTATGATTTACTTCGTCTTCCATAGACCCATCTGCTGACAAGTCCATTCCCAAATATCTGAATACATTAACTTCATCCATACTCTCTTTCTCTCCAATCTGATATCCAATCTTTCAGTACCTAAATGTTTTGTTATCCTCATTACCTATGTTCACTTCTAATTTCCTTTTTTTACACACCTACTAAACTTATCTACCAACTTCTACAGCTTCTCTTCAGAATCACTCAAAACACAGTGTCATCAGCAAAAAGCAACTGTGACAACTCCCACTTTGTGTTAGATTCTTTATCTTTGAACCCCACACCTATTGCCAACACCTGAGCATTCACTTCTCTTACATCTCTATCTATAAATATACTGATCAACCATGGTGAAATCACATATCCCTGCCAAAGGCCTACTTTTACTGGAAAATAATCTCCCTCACTCCTGTACTTTAACCTGAGACTCAATATCCTCATATACTAACCTGAGCCTCACTATCCTCATAAAAACTCTTCACTGCTTTCAGTAACCTACCACTTATTCCATACATTTGCAATATCTGCCACATTGCCCTCCTATCCACCCTATCATATGCCTTTTCCAGATCCATAAATGCAACAAAAACCTCTTTACCTTCATCTAAATAGTGTTCACGTATATGTTTCATTGTAAACACTTGGTCTACATATCTCCAACCCTTTCTAAAGCCTCCTTGTTCATCTGCGATCCTGCTCTCCGTCTTACTCTTAATTCTTTCAGTAATAATTCTGCCATACACTTTCCAGGAATACTCAACAGACTTTTTACCCTATAATTTTTATAATATTTTTCCTTTCACCTTCATACAAAAGAACTATGCATGCTCTCTGCCAATCCCTAGATACCTTCCCCTCATCCAAACATTCATTAAATAAAGACACCAATCAGTCCAAAACGATATCCCCACCTGCTTTTAAAATTTCTGTCTTTTTCTCATCAATCCAAGCTGCTTTACCCCCTTTCATTCTACCCACTACCTGATGCATTCCCTCACACTCACTACTGGCTCTTCCTCTCTCCTACAAAACGTTATACCTCCCTGCACAATACACGAAATCAGAATTTCCCTATCTTTATCAACATTTAAATGTGCCTCAAAATGTTCTCGCTATCTTCCCAGTACCTCTAACTCTCCATCAAATAACTCTCCTATTCTATTTTTAA